GGAGATATCTATGAAATAGAGCCAGATCGCCAATTTTTCTACGGTGTTCCAGTGGAGTGAGTGAGTTTGTGAGCGAGGCATCGCCCACGAGACGAATTGCCCTTTTTTGGACAGAATCCAACAGTTTCATGGTATGTTTGGGTGCTGCACTGCAAATATAGTATTCCAGGACAGGTCGGATCTGTTCCTGATAGATTATAAGCAGCTGACTGGAAGAAAAATAGCTCCTGGCTCGAAACAGGAAACCAATTTTTCGGGATGCATTTTCAGCAATTGATCTCACGTGATTTTCCCAAGGAAGATTATTACCGATAAACATGAGTGAGATAATTGATTTCGTTATTGAAATATCGAAATATATTCAGTAGCGTACTCCAGAAAAGAACAACTTATTTCTATAAAAGAGAATGTGAAATATCTACGTCTCTGTATATTGATTGAATTGGTCTGACATGGTTTTCATACACATTGATGATTGTAAATTGAGCAGAATCTTGCAAGGATTCTGAAATATTCAGAAAAATCTGTGAATTCATTTATACTTCATCGCCCCCTCACGGCTCAACGATGCATTTTCGTATAGAGGTTATTTGATTTCAATCTAAACAGTTTGGTCCTATAGATTGAATCACCTGTAATATTATGCATGATACGACATCTTTGAAGACAGTAAACGCTCACGTATTTGTTAATTGATTCTAGAATCATTGAACTACCAACTTTCGAATAGCTGTCGAATATAAAAACAGGCATGGCTTTGCTCCTGATGAAGGTGTGAGGAAGACCAGAGATCGTTCGGGTATCGAGTCATTTTGTTCGTGCCAAACAGTCAGAGTTTGGGACAGTACTGAAGTTTGCTTCCTTCAGGGTCTCGTAGCCATATTAGTTTATTTGTAGTATGTTATTGTCATTCATTCAGGTATTGAATGTTCCCTGAAAACCCTTTGAATCCTATTTATTGATATCACTTGAGGAAAACATTATCTAATAGATCTAGGGTACTACTCAGGCAACCCCCGTCTACTGCTTTTGACAATATAGTTTCAAAATATGTCAACTTCATTCTTGTAATTGTATGAATTTCACGAGAATATATCAACTTATTTCATTAAAACCTCGGAGACATTAAAAAATTGCAATAGTGGGAGGTATATGATAGTCCAAGAGCTGCAAAGTTAGACCGTCATCTGATAACGAAATGACATGCCTAAAAGGCATGCTAAAACAATGTAGTCTATTGAACGGCACCTGTGCCAATCAATATCCTGAGCAAAATTATTGAAAAATTGCACCAGTGTGGAACTCAACATGTGGATGACAATACTTGTAGTGTGGGCACCACATGGGTTCCACACTGGTCCATCGGATATTATCTATCGACGAGGACGAAATATTCACGGGAATATGGACGCTCTGCCACTAACTTAGTTCAGTTCGGATATCTGCAGCAGGACTAGTTTTTCCTTTCATTTGCTTTTCGATACAACTAGTTTTCACATGACGGAAGTATGTCTGAAATAATAGGAGCAAATAAATCGCTGTCAATTGGTATCCGATTGCCTAATTTTTATGTCCTTATCCAATCACGAAATCGACTGCAAATGTTCGCATAGAAAAGTGGATTTTTCAATCATTCTGCTCAGGATAGTGATTGGCACACCTATCTTTGGGTTATATATCATTTATATCATCAGATGACGGTAGAAATCTGAAGCCGGTTCTCCTACTATGATGAAACCAGAGATATAATTGACAGTAGTTGGCTCCGAATTCCCTGCACTGCAAGTACAATTCTCTTTATAGAATGAGATATCATTGCTCAATTGAACAATATTTTTAATTTTGATCAAATTCATTTACATGCTTCGTCAATGTTATCACATTCCTAATTAACGCACGAACATTCTAGAATTGAAAATTGACTATGAAATTCCACAAACAGGCATTAATATTGTGGTGTTTTGATGAAGGAGTGTCCAAACAATATCGAATTACACTCTCATATAACCTGAAAATACTGCGTTGAACAGATAGACATATCGAACTGATCCTATGTTGTATGATTATGCTATGTATATTATCATTGAATCATCATGGTAGGAACAATATTAATGGCAAATCTGGGGTAAGTTTGTTTTTCTACTCACATAACTAAAATGGCATTTAGCGTACGGATATGTACCACGCTAAATGATCGATTAATCACGGATTGTCGATCTGTGATCTATTCAAAATATTGAACACGTTACCATGGCAACACGATTCCTTAAACACATTACCATGGCAACGCAGTTTATTAAACACAGCTTCAGTAATTTGAGACATGTCTGGCCTGTCAATTGTATTAACTGTCAGATGTTATTTTCGAATTTTGTATCAGAATTAATCAAACAATAATCGTTTGTATCAGATTTCTTCATTGAAAATATATGCGAAAAGTAGACGAAAGTGAAATCGAAGCGAATGTTCTGGTTCCTGCATATCTCCAAGAAGTGTAAAAATGAAGCATCCATCTTTGAGAACAATTTATTCATTCTGCGCTAAGCATGACAATAAACGTGAAACAAAGATTAGTAAGCAATGGACTGGACACGTCTACAACCAATATCACTCATACGTGTCTCGCTGGTTGCATACAGTTGCATGTATTATGCAATTCCCATTCCTTTCGAATTATTTTGTAGGTTAGCAGGAATTGCAGGTATGTTGATGTAATTTTCGGAGTTCGTAGAAAAATCATAGTATGTAACGCGTTTATAAACTCTTCTAGACACTCGTTTATTAAACACTCGCTACGCTCTGCTCCGCTCTGCTCCGCTCGTGCTTAAACTACTCGTTACTAAAAGGACGTTTATAACACTTGTTACATAATAGACTATTACAGTGTGCTATGTTCTGTTCGATTTTCATAAATGAAGAACGAGAAAGAATATTACATCATTGCAGATTGAAGCAGATAAATCACTATGAAATTCCATGTGATCATTTTCCGATGGAATATTCAAAAATATCAGGTACCTATTCACAAAAGGATATATTATTATCAGATTCAGATTATTCTTCGAAGCGCATCTAGTATTTTGTTCGTGACAAAAAAATAAAGCTGATTTTAATTGCAATATACGTAATGGATCGTCTAAATGATCCTCATATTCCATTTTTATTTGCTTCATTGAACCCAGTATCCATTTCGGAATTGTGTAAATTCGAATGTAGAGTCCATTTGGCGAGATATTAACGGAAAAACTGACAGTCCACACAATACAATGAATGGGCAAATAATAAAAAAGTAATTGCTTCCATTTCATTATGACACTTCACAATGGAAGTGAATGATTATAATAATTGCGCTGCCATAGAAACTGATGAGAATTAAACCCATGGTGGAATTCGAAGTGAAGTTGGGTATTTCATTAAGAATGATAGGATTTTGATTTTGAATGAACTAACATAGATTTGACAAATCAACCTGAATCCAGCTTTATTTTGAGGCTTGTTCATTGTACATTGCAGTTATGTTCGAAATAAGATGAAATAAAGATTATTTCATAATGCAATTCAGTGGCGGCTGAATCTGGGGGTGGTGAAGGAAAAAATCACCACAATTTTTATTTGTGCATTTCTTTCTCAATTTCTAGTTCGAAATCTGATTTCTCATATTGTTGATCCGGTTCAATTCGAAAGCGTTGTAAGGCATTGAAAAAATACAACAGAACTTTCATACACGCAGAAATCTATCTGGTCTCACATGTTGTACTCGGAAATGAAAAATTGAATACACAGACAAATTGTGGTGACTTTTTTCCTTCACCACCCCTAGATTCAACCGCCACTGAATTACCGTATGAAATAATTTTCATTCCATTTCATAGAGCGTGAAAAGTTCGGTATCTGTTAAAAATTTTGTTGATTTATCTCAGACCGTTCCGAACTTTTCACAACGCTCTATATCTCGAAAACGTCGCGTTCAAAAGTATTTCATTATCTCAACGAGTACAACACACTGTTGAATTTTTTGTATTACAAACCGGACTACCCTGTATATACCGATCGAGATACCTACCTACCGGAACAGATTTTGAATCGATAAATATTGAATTGCTTATACTGGGTTTGTGGAGTCTGAAACGTTTCGAGAAGTTCAGGAAGTTCGATGAAGTTTGGGAAGATCGAGGAAGTCTGGGAAGTCCGAGGGGTAAATCTCCAGGAAAAATGTGTACACCAGACTTCCAAAGACTTCCGAAGACATCCAAAGACTTCCAGATACTTCCAAAGACTCCCAAAGATTTCCAAAGACTTCCAAAGACATCCAAAGACTTCCAGAGACATCCAAAGACTACCAAAGACTTCCAAAGACTCCCAAAGACCTTCTTCTAAAGACTTCCAACGGAGTGTACACCAGACTTCCAAAGAGATTTACCCCTCGGGGAAGTCCGAGCAAGTTTAGGAGGTTCGAGGAAGTTTAGGAAGTTCGGGGAAGTTTGAGTAAGTTCGGGGAAGTTCGAGTAGGTTCGGGGAAGTTCGGGGAAGTTTGAGTAAGTTCAGGGGAGTTCGAGGAAGTTTGGGAAGTTCGAGGAAGTTTGGGTAGTTCGAGGAAGTTCGAGGAAATTCGGGAAAGTTTGAGGAAGTTCGGGGTATTTTGACGAAGTTCGAGGAAGTTTGAGGTAGTTCGAGGAGGTTTGGGAAGTTTTGACCCATGGGAAGTTTGATGAACAATTTTTTTCGCCGTGATTTACCCCTCGTGGATTTGTGGATCTTCTTTATCGTAAAATGAATCTCACTTCCAATATCCAATTAATAGGACATACCTACCTCTCCTTCATTAGACAACATGAAATGTCTAGTTCTTGAAGTCTTGAAGCGAATGCATATATATTTTTTGTGAAATATGAGATTGGGTTATACCTAACGCTTTATCCAATATTTGCACATATCCTACCGATTCCGCCTTGTATGTATGTGACTAGTTCGATATACGACAACAATATCAATTTACTTACGAACAACTACCATCGTTTTGGTGTCACTGCCCGTTGAAAATGGAGCATCTGTAGTAACTTCACAGCTGAAGTTTCCTGAAATACTGAAATCAATATCTCTTAGAGCCACTTGAGTCGAGTTGGAGTTGTATCCCTGCAAGAAAAACAACATCGTTTGAAATAAGAATATCCATACAATTCCTCTCAGTCCAACTCATTTTCTGAGTTAAGAATTGATAGATCCTAGTTTTATGAAATTGTCATTGATTTGTTTCCATTCAATGATTATTTTAATCAGGTATATGGTCCTTATCCATTCGCACCTGATGCAATGTATGTGAGTTGAAGTGTAAATATCCTTCGTTTCTCTTTCATTTCTATGAAGGAAACAATGTGAAATATCGATATTTCACGAACTTCCATCTGATTAGTTTCTATATTTCATGAATTTCTTCTTTCATATTTTTCCATTTGCTCCTCTCCTGGGTCAATGTATATGCAGTACACCTGGATTCTACTTGGACTGGATATGTGAATAAGTATGTCCCCAATATTTAGTAGTAGGATAGTAGATAATAGCATTCTCACTCGAGGTATATATAATAACGTTTCCACTACTAACACTGAAATGTCATTATGTTCCATTATTTCACATTCTCATTTTCATTGAAGCATTGCTATCCATCGTGTTTATTCAGCATTTTTCAGCATATTAGTAAAATCTCGATACATCCAGTAGATTATAGGAGTTCAGATTCCAAACAAACTAAAGAGAATCGACTTGGCTGTCATGAAGTGAAGGCTATATTGAAATTCCAGGTGAAATTGTGAATAGATACAAAAAACGAGTGAGATCTCAAGTGACAGTGATTTTGATATCGAAGCTTGTACTCCGCCTGCATGAAGTTAGAAAGGATATATTCTCAGATAAATTATGAACATACAAAAATGGATATATATTTATATAAAGCAATACATATATATCCATTTGTGTATGTTCATGATTTATCTGAGAATATTCCTTTTCAACACTTTCATACCCAATCAGGGGGTTCAAACTTGAACGATGGAAACTTGTGATTTTTATAGACCTCTAATCGCAGATTCGTGATAGAGTCTCAATTCAGAATTTCTTTCCACGCCCTGTATCATGAATGTCAATTTATCATACACCCAGAAGCAAAAAAAAATTAGAAAGGATACTTTAAAAAAAGATCGCTAGTAGAAATTGAAAATATAGTATACTCATTAGACATCATTTGAAATATTTGAAACCTATGAATATGGTAAATGATACCATTGAACAATCATCGAACTGATGTACGTAATAAATCATATCGTATTGACCGCCATAGTTGAAATCGTTCTCATTGGTCAGCACACATTTTTGAATCAATAATAATCACATTATTTCGAACTATTTCACAATATTTCAAACTATTTCACAACTTCAAGAATTGTTTTCAACTGAAAAGAATTTTGTGGCCTGAACTAATAATTTGGTTGAAAGAATATTAAATTTTTCATTGGTTGCATAAGCATCGGTATAATGTATGTGTGTCTATTGCAATTCTTTGATCATATTGACATGTTAATGTACCTAGGTAAAATTTGTTTATCCGTATGTACCTAGGAGGAAATCCTTGAATAATGGTGATTTCTCAGATTAGTCGTGGAAAATATTTATTCATGTACATAAGGGCCTTAATTACTGATGACGAAGTTTACCTGACGTGGTATCCATCGATAATATTATTTTCTGACCTATTTCGATAAAAACTGTTGTACGAGCAAGAGAATGGTTACTTCCTTCGAGGAGTTCAGCGCTATACCAACAGGAATACAAGATATATCTGGAGTGGCTGACACGGAGAAATATGAGGTCAAAAGATGTCACTGAAACTGTATTTCTGACAAAGTTTCAAGAACTGCGATCCTACCGCCAGTCATCGTGAGCAAAGCCGGGTCCTCTCCTGTAAACGAGGTAAAGGAACGTGTAAAAGTCCTCCAACGATCACTCATTCAACGAAAATAGAGGATTCTTGTCAACATGAGTAGCAATCAGGCCAAAGTCGCTTGCGACGGTGACCCATCAAACGTAACAAGATGAATCTCGTTGACATGGGTACCTGGGGCGTTAAGGATAGCCCCATCAGGTCGTACATACTTCACCAATTGTGTTGGACTTCAGGGGGCAGCGTTAAAAAAAAAAAAAACACCACTGAACTACGGTAGAGGAGGTGAAAAAGAATCTCACTATGGGTCAAGTGGGAGGATATCTTGCCTGCCTCGACGGATGAGCAGCGTTCCTGCTCAGACACTGACACTGCAGAGCCAGTAATCTGTCTTATCAGACGGCCTCACCATTGGTATAATGAAATGGTAGCAGGAGAACATGCCGTTACATAACGGAGATGGCTCTAGCGCGCTGATTTGGTGCATCCAAATCCTCCATTTCTCCTAGGGGTGCTGTCGATATAAGGCGAGAGGGAGGTGGGATTTGACCCACCTGGTTGTTACCCCGGAACATACTGATTGATGATTGATGGGATAGGGGAATGAGAAGTTCCATTGACTTTGGCACCTCTCATTCCCAACAACGGACTAAATATATACCCTGGAGCATAGGGCAGCACTGGAGACTCGTCTATTTTGTACGAGTGACTCAAATGATAGTGAATCACAAGCAATGCCGCTTTGTGTCTATAGATATAGACAAAGTGTTTATAAGTAGTGGTCGACGGAGTATCATCTGACTCCCTTATCAAAAATGCTGGTGTTCCGCAAGGATCAATCATAGCAACAACACTAGTTCTACTCAATATCAACGATTTGTTGGAAGCAACTTAATGTCCAGTACACAGCTCAGCGGATGATAGTACCCTCCATACCGCCTTCTCTTTCAAGACTCCAATACCAGCCAGGCAAATCAGAAATGAACGAGGAAGAAAAGTTGACAACATAAATATAGACTTGACAACAATTCTAGAATGGAGAACCAATAACTTGGTAGATTTCAATGCAAACAAAACACAAGCATGCCTTTCCTTCTGAAAAGACGATCACACTGTGCCCAACATGAGCCTGTCAGGAGTAACCATTCCTTTGTGGACATCCATACTGATGCTTGGTATTACTATCAGCAATAACCTTCTTGGGAAAATCACGTGAGATCAATTGCTAAAAGTGCATCCCAAAAACTTGGTTTTCTGTTTCGGACCAGGAGCTATTCCACTTCCAGTTAGCTGCTTATGATCTATAAGGAACATATCCGACCTGTCCTGGAATATTGATTCCATATCTGGAGTGCAGCACCCAAACATACCCTGAAACTGTTGAATTCTGTCCACAAAGAAGGCAGTTCGTCTCGTTGGTGATGCCTCGCTCACAAACTTACTCACTTCTCTGGAACACCGAAGAGAAGTTGGCAATCTGGCTCTCTTTATAGATATTTCCATGGACGATGCTTCACTGAAATATCAACAATTTTTACTCCCTTGGCAGTTTCCGCGAGATTAATCCGTCGAGTTGAGACTTCGCACCCTTTCGTGGTCACTTCAGAGACCTGCAGAACATCTCTTCCCAAAGACTTGTTCATCCAACGAAGAGCGAGACTCTGGAGCACATTGCCAAGGGAGGTGTTTCCTGAGGCATATAACCTACAGAAATTCCAGAGGAACACCAATTCCTACCTTGTTTTCCTTAGTTCTCACGATGTTCTCTGAACATTACAGGAGATTCCTCCTCGTGGGAACCAGAACATAAAAGAAGTGTCTCGGACGCCCTGCGGCAGGCCCTGCATATTGATATTGATATTAACATTAACATCATGGTGGAAATATAAAATCGTGTGCAGCTCAGGTATCTTGAGTTCGTCTTTCCTACGCATAACGTCATCGCGATTCTTCCATCCAAATGATCACGGCGACTTGGGCAAACTGATATTTGTGGGCTCAGACTGCGAGCAATGGGGAAGACCACTGAGGGAAGAAATCCGTGCAAACCTTTTCCAATCGACGAATCATGATTTACATTTTATGTACAATCAATATTATGAGTTGAAGTTGAAGGGAATCGAAACTATATATATCCTTTTGAAATCAGCATATTTCATTCGATATTTCAAACAGCCAAATATGATGGTGGAGTCGTGACGTATTAGTCCCAAACTGTAGCTATCTATCTCTGATACCTCGTCATTCTGCAGTGTTGCAGTGTAATTGGTCAGTTCAAGGACAATAGGCGTGTTGGGACTAAGACGTCGCACCAGTCACACCAATGAATTGATGAAATTTCAAATGGCGCAGGAATTGTGTGTTCTGAAATGGACATATACTAATTTATTTTTTTCATCGTCTTAGCATGAATGAAAAAATTCAAAATTAATTCACTGGTAGTTTTTCAGTATAGAGTTCACGATAATGTCGTTTTAAAAAATCAGTGGTCTTCCCCATTGTTTTACTCGCAGTGGCGTATACGATGATGCATCGTAGCTCACCATACTATTACCCCACCATGAATATCATTATCATTATTATTATCATTATCATATTCCTGTCGGATACAACTTACATCGATATTTATACCTCTGAACGGGAAAGTCTTTATGCTCGGATACTCGCTGGGAGTATATCTGTAAAACTCGTATCGGCCTCTGTACCACTTCACCGAGTAGAGTGCATCGCCTTCTAGATCGTAGGAGCATCGCAGAACGGAATGGTTGAAGCGCTGCACCACTTTGGGCTCGATCGTCAGTAGGACATTTTTCAAAGAGAGCGCATCTGAAAGAGAAAAATATAATGTATGGTAAAGTTAGGAAATGTTGACGAGTGGCTCGAAAAAAGAACACAATATTGCACGGATAAGACCTGACATTGTTGTATCCAAGATACGTTACATTCACCACAGACTATTGTTAGAACATGACTCTCAGAACCCAAATATACCTAATTTTATTCCTATGGAACTTCTTAAATCTCTTGTGATATTGCTACTATGAAAATGTCTGAAATATCAGTATTTTGATAAAAACCTTCTTGAAATAAGATATTGAACTTGGGACTCTACAGCGTCCTGCATCTCACCTTCCGTCTTCTATACAGGGTGATTCATTAAGAATGGCAAATCTCTAAACTACAGACAGTGAACACAAAAATGATACGATCTTGCCCAATATGCCTGATACGAGTGTTGCTGGTTTAGTAGATGCAGGGTGTTCTAGAGGGGGATTTTATTTCAAAATTTCACAATAACTGTGTTAGTCACAACAGCATAAACATGGAATCTTGAGTTTTCTGACATGGGGAATATGAATTTGCAACTTATTTTGTGATTGCTCATAGAGGACGCTATAGAACCACTCTGTTACTTCGATAATTCACATCATACATTCTATGTCAATTCAATGATGATCAGAGTAAGTGGAAAATCTGGAAGCTCGTTCGATTTCACATAAAATGTACTCCTTATTAAACTGTCTAGCTTCAACGGTTTTTGTGTTATTCGCTCTTGAAGAGATCCATTTTTCACTTATGATATTTTTGCTTCCTTAATCAGATCAGTAGATAGTGAATCGAAATATAAGATAGGAAGATGTATGCCGTTTTCACCAATAATGAATAGTTTCGACCCAAAAAAATCCTGATATTGAAATATCTCGATTTTGCACCCTCTATATCTCTGTAATCATTCTCGCTGGACCATAGTGTGATGCATTGATGAAATCAGCTCACAAAGGAGAATCCGAGAATGCAATGAAAAACAGGACGTCCCATAAGAAAAAGTATAACTTTGATACTTCACGCATTTTTGAGTCACCCTGTATGAAGCGAAATATTTCGGAAATGTGCTGCTCATGAGCCTAGATCATCACGACAATTTTCGTTCATCTATCTCAAACATCAAAGGTGTTATCTCACTTTCCCATTTCAATGACTCACCCTATATATGTTCTTTTCCAATTTTGAATACTGCAGCAATACAGATGTATATCGTCATATGATTTCATGTGTAGTTTGCATGAGGGTAAGATATACACAGTGACCTAAAAGATTAATTATTGTGCTCCCTCCTTCTGAAGCTATAGCAATTTCTCTAGTCCTGTCCTGAGATGGAGTGATTCCAAGTAAGATAGCTTCTCCTCCTTGATTATGTGTGCTCCTAGGATTTTGCCCTTGGGGCATATTTCATAAGAATGTGGATGGAGGTTTTCAATCCAAGGTTCCTAAGATGTCTCTCAATCGGCAATGCCTCATTAGGAGTTTCCTTAGTAGATATACGAAGTTTTTCACTCAATCATTGCTGGAAGTAGAGTACGTACAGTAGAAAATACTTGATAATACACGAAATCATCCCTATGACAGTCGTAAAGATCACTTTTATTCAGAATTTGAGTTTATTTTTACTCAGGCTGGTAAATGCTTTCCATCTCTTGTGATTTAAGTTACCCAGTTGTATCCTTGCTTGTCTGAGAATTTCAAGATTCTTTCTGACACGGTTCTCATGCTGATCCCGCAGGAGGGTTCTTGCTCTACAACAAGTTTCTGAAGGTTAATGTAATACCACCCGTTCGTTTCCTATTTTACCCAATTCACCCAATTCACTTCTGTATCAACATTCCAAATTGTACAGGTCATTTATTGATAATCGAAAGTAGTCTATTGAATTCATATTTTTCGTTGTGGTTGTTTATAAAGTATCTATCTCCTATGATTCATTTATCACGTTCTGAAAAAACTTTTACAATTAAAAGAGCCAATGACGCGAAATATCTGGGCATAATAGTTGTTTGTCATCTTCGGTGGGATAAACATCTGGCGCGAGTCTGCAAAACTCTTCGGTCGCTCCTCAAACACTTTCAACAAATACTGGATTTCAAATATCTCAGAATTCTTCACCAAGCATTAGTGGAAACACGACTCACCTACGGTATTCTAGCTGGGGGGCAGCAACGGATGCACACTTGCACAACCTCGAAGTTATTCAAAAAAAAAATCTTGAGAATTATATCATCCAAACATATCAGATACTCATCTGACCTGATATTTACAGAAACGGAAGTCCTTGACTTACGACAGCACTATTACTATAAAATTGTGATAAGACAATTCAAAAACAGATTAAATCTACCACTCATCAACCATAACTACCAAATTCGTCTGAAAACTAATAACTCTCTGAGAATGGTATCATCTAGAACGAGAATAGGACAGAGAAATCATATATTTTTAGCTAGTAGATTTTATAACTTCCTCTAGACTGAAATCAAAGAAGTCTCCAACATTATATACTCCTTCAAAAAAAGGACCAAATATCATCTTCTTTCTTTAGAACGTATGGTTATTCTTTCATTGTTTGAATATTAAAATATTTTTTATATATTTCTAGACATATTTATCATTATTATTATTATTATTACTATTGTTCGGTACCTATGTTGTTATATTTATGTCTCAAATTCATATTTATGTCATATTTTGCCTTGTTCATTATATTCATTCATTATTTCAGCAAATTTTATACCATAAATTTATATATATTTCTCACATGGACTTCAAAGCACGCACGCACAGGCTCTGCCTTAGTGGATTTTTGTTTGTTCGAAAATATCTCAGCAGAATATACCATACATATTCTATTTTTTGTTCATTACCAAAATTTATACCAATTTGTATTTTTTGAATATTTTGAATAATTATTATTATTATTATTATTATTATCATGACACATCTGCTCAGAGCATACACTATTCCTGCTTGCTTCTTATGTAGTATACATCCAGTCTTCATTGTACAACTTCCTAACATGACAGAGTCCCTATCAAAACCACATTTCCATCAGGTCCATCTATGGCATGCTCTTGACCTATTAGAGATGTGTAAATCATTGTTCTTGTTAGTTCCTCAGCATTTCTCTCTCCAACTTGTGTACGACACTGAGACCTTATGATGCATCATCAGTTTATGTTATAATACAATTGAAAGCATGATCTCTCTGATAGCAGCCTAACTGATAGTGGAGACTGTTTTCCGTTTTAGAGTGCTTAGACTGCTGTGAAACTCCATTGGTATTTCCAAAATCTTGACATGTGTTTGGACCTCGAATTTAAACAACCTGTTCGCCACCCATTTCGTGTGCCAATGGATTTGGGCCTTCAGGGACATCAACCCATTGTAGACACAGATAATACATCGTTTATGGTGGCTCTGGCAATAAAATATTTCTCGAAGTCACTCTCGGCAGAATTATTGAGCGAAGCATCGTCTCTGGAAAAGCGGTACAGGACTTTTTGTGCCGTAACTATCTGGATCCTTCGGCTACCGAACCCTTGTATCGTTGCAAACACTCGCTTCCCGACCACTTATCTCCTCGTGTGTCTGACCTTATTCTTGTTCATGCATCCTAAGCGCTAGGTTATGTCAAATAAACAAAGCAATGAAAAACAATGCCATTGTGTGTTTATAACCAGTAAGCAGATATACCTCTGGGGCAGAGATGTCGTTAAGGGGTGTGGGCTAGGTGTGATAGTTTGTTTGACAGGTTATAATTTTGAGGTGGCGGAAATTTGATCGAAAGACAAATGATGGAAGAACATTTGATAGAATTCTTTTGATTGAAAACCAAAAAAGAGGAAGAACTCCACACCGAAAATACATTTGATCGAATGTTTTATGATAGACAATCCATTTGATAGAAACATAAATGATAGAAAATACAATTGATAAAAAAAATATTTGATAAAAGATACACTTGATAGAAACAGCATTTGATAGAAAATTCCACGGGGCTACGCTCAAGTTAGGTCAGTTCGTTTGTGAAGATATGATCCTTCCTCATATATTCTAGAAGAAGGAGCTAGAAGTTTGTGGTATCAATGAATGCATAAGCTTCGATTTCTATCTAGCTCCTCTTCTTCACTAATGTACTGACCTAACTTAAGCGTAGCCCCGTTGCATTTTCTATCAAATGCTGTTTCTCTCAAGTATATTTTCTATCGAATGTATTTTCTATCATGAAAACACTCTCGATCGAAAGACTTCTATCAAATGTTTTTCTCAAAAAAAAATCATTTGTCTTTCTATGAAATTTCCGCCACCCATTATTTTGGATGATAATGGTCAGCAACGAGGGTACACGCTCCTGAAGGGATTGTTTCGAATTGTTGATGTCTTACATTGAAAGAGATTTCAATTCCATCATTTTTTTAACGGAACTATTGTATCCTCCATTCCAAGAACATTTTCCTGAGTTCTCAATTCTGAATGAATAATATTGAATAGGGTTAATTGCTTGTCTCAAATGAATTTAATGATCTCTCGAGAATAGTTACTCAGTTCAAGTATTGTATAATCTTTTCATGAAAGAATATTGATTCTTGTCTTGATCTCATTTCAATGTGAACCATTCATCAATTTCACCAATTGAATATCGAATTTTATTATTCTGTTGTGTGACATAATATATTGGTAGGTATACTTGTACTGAGTATCATCATATTCTTGAACTCAAACATCATTAACAAATTCCTCAATCTGATTGTTTTATGATTTTTCTATTGAAAAATATCGGAATCACACCTATTCGGTTCTGGCTCAATAGAATTATAAAAATTGAGCCGTATGGATTCAAAATACCTTCCTACCAGAGTGTAACTTGGCCTATTGTGCAACTGGAACATTTCGAAGGGTTTGATCTGTAGGGCAGAAGGTTGACACAGGTGGTTGAACAATTTCGGGAAAACATGATACGGATTTCATTTCATCATAGGTTTCCAGGTGTCATC